CCAGCAACGAGCGCCGTGCAGCAGGACAGAATCATACTTTTTCTATTCTAGAAGCCAACATAACATACCATTCTCTGCTTCTGTACCTTGTGGCTGAGCAACATTTTTCTCAACTCTTTCAACAATTTCTAGGACATCATCAACATCAGCTCTTTTCCTCTTGACACTGTTCGGGTCAGTTTTAGCAAGAATCTGGCCTTTTGCTCGTAGTCTGTGTATCGCAGCCAGCTAGAAAACAGGAAAGAGCAGTGAATACATTGGTGACCACTCTAGCTCCCGTGTTCCTGCTTCCAGAAATAGCAGAGGAAGTCTGTCAAATGGAGGAGACAAGATCCACTGGCCCGAGCGCGGAGCTGGCCGAAGAGAGGCCCAACAAAATTCCCAGCTCTGCCGTACATCTAATTCACCACATCGCCCAACCTCTTGTGACTTCCCAAACCATAAAATCACTCCTCCAGGGGTGTTACCAGGCTTGCTAACTCTGCAGCTGTGCTTTAACTGCTTCACAAATCAGTAAGTTTTCCAGAGGAATCAAATCACTTGAGATTTCCACATAAATTGGTAATAATTGGGAACTAATAGAAAATTGCGTACAACTATTCCTTTCCATGCTACCAAAATGTTAAGACTCCTTCTTCTTTGCTGGAAGAGAAAAGTTTCTTTGACAAACATGTGAACAGATTTGTGCCAAGGAAAGATGCAGTCTGTTCTAGCTAGACACCAAACTTGTCCAAACTCATGGCACAACATAGCTAAACCAGTTTAGTTGCCTGTTGTTTACCTGGCAGACGGCAAACACCCACAATACACAGCACTAGCAATGCCAAAGAACAAACGTGCACAGTTTAGCACTCCAGGGATTTTCAGCAGAAATCCCCTGCCCCTTCCCAGCACTTAAGGGTTTTCATGCTCGTAAAACAATCAGTAGCGACAGGCCTTGCTCTCCCTTCTTCTGTAAAAATCACTTCAGCACCTCCCATCCTGGTCCAGGACCTATCCAGAACCCAATACTTTAAGGTGTCCCAGGCTCCCAAAACATAAGAGCAAAAGAGCAGCCACTGGTGGACAGAGAGGCTCTGTCCCACTTGCATGAAGAACAGAGTGCAAGCAGAGCAACACAGCTACTCCAAAATGCTCTCCAAAGGTCATGTCCTCAAGAGGTGACAGACTATGTCAGGTCATGAAGAACAGAGTCAATTCTACTCACAGAAGCTGCTAGCGTGCATATAGAGGTGTTTCTTCAGCAAAAAGTTTAGCATCAGGCTCACGACTTAAATGAGATGCATTATCTCCCCATCTCCTTTTCCTCAGTCCCATCCCAAGAGGCTCCTCTGTCCCCTGCCCACACCCAACTGGCATTTGCCAAAATTGCCATTGTTCCAGTGGCTTTACTGATGCTTGTCTTCAGAGAAGATCAAGAGTGAGCTCATGAGCATCACACATGAGACAGATCGTAACAACTCACTGCTGACCAATTCAGGTGAATTTTGAATTAGCAAGAGACACCAGCTCCTGTGGCCAAACGTCACAGACACAGCCCCCTCTGTAGCAGCTCTGCCACTGCTCTGGAGGTTGACTACACGCATGACATGAACCTTGGTACTAACAGCAGTCAGGAACCACAGGTTTCTTGTGTACTGTAATACAGCCCAGTCCAATCCCACAAATCAGAACCTTCACGAATATCAGCACTGAGCTGTCCTGTACTGATCAAAGACTCCTCTACTACCACAAACCAAACTTCCCTTAACCTCCCCTTCTTAATACTCCAAAGATTCAAAGAGATGTTACCTTTTTGGCTTCTGCCAAGCTATCTAGCTTTGGTGTTGGAGGTGGAGACCCGTCAAAGAAGAGGATATCTTCTCCTTCTGAGAAGCCTGTGCCCAGCCTGGGCCTTTGAGAAGTTGACATTTTTGCAGCTTTGGGAAACTCTGCCCCAGGTATTGGGGAATGGAGCAAGGATTGTCTGGAGGAGGATGGCAAAGCAGGGGTGCCAGCTTTACTTGTGTTCTGGAGAAACCTTGTGAGACAAGAATAATCCATTGAAATAGGGACACAAGTCAAAGAGACAGAAAGGTTTAAGAAACAGATAGGAGCGGAAGGGATGCAGACTGATTTTTCACTAATTGGCCTTTTATTGCTAGAAAATCATGCAGCAATTCAGGCATTCAGGAGAGGAAAACAAGACCGGTAAGGAAATCGCTGGGTCGCTGAAGTCAAGAGTGACTTGAAGAAGCCACCAGGAGTGAATGACTAATTGCTTTCCAAAATAAAAAACAGAGAGAAGAAGCATCAAATGAAGCTGGGAGCTGAAAACACAAAAATGGGCTTCTCTGCAGAACAGGTAGTTAAGCAGTGGGACTCCTTGTCACGGGAGTCACATAAATGCTTAGGTTTACATAGGCCATGGTGAAGAGGTTGGACAGGTTCATGGGGAAAAAAAACACCAAACCTTCAGAAATATTGTGACAGACACCACCTCTAGCTTGGGAAGTCCCTGAAATACATAGTGGTGTAGGCTGGAAGAGTATTTGGGGGAAATATCATCATGATTGTGCCTAGTCTTATTATTCTCCTTCAGGTTCTGTTTTGCTCCTGTTGAGCCTTTTGAGGCTACTTGACTACATCAATCTCAAGTCTCACCCAGGCTCGCTCTTCTGAAGTTCTTCTTAGGTTTGTTAACAAGATATGCACAAAACACTTGGCAAATCTTAAGGTTCAGAAGACCCTTGCAAGCCAGCAATGAACAGAACCATGACTCCTGGCCCCAGTTTCGTACTCTAAGTAGCCTCTTCCCATCATGCTTTCCAGTTGCTGGGCACTGTGCTGGAGCATTTGGTTCTCCACTGAATACTGGGGTATTTCTATTTAAATGAAGTTTTTATTAAAATAGCAAAACACCTCCCACAGTTATACTTAGGGCCACAATAACAGAACCCTTCCTGTGAAAGTCAGTATGTATTACCGCCTCTGAATCTCTTCAGATCGCTTTTTCCTGGCCTCCAGCCACTTCTGTTTCTGTTGCTTGAGCAGTGCTGAAGCAGAGACAGACTGGAAATTGTCTCCTTGCTTCTTTTCAGCATCTGGGAAAAAAACAAACCAAACCAAAATAAAAAGCCACTAATGTTTGCTCAGAGGAGGCTGAGTGATTTCAGGAGTGGGTTTTCCTTCAGGCAAAAGGACAATACCTGCTTTGGTCCAGTGTTTGCAGAGGTTTCGTGCTCCAAAAGTTGGCTGTGCCAGCAGTTCCTTGAATTCATCAGAACACTGCATGGGTCTCTTTGCTGCACCTGGAGCGGAAGAGGCAGGAATACAACCGATTTGGAGCCAGGAAGGGAAACAGGCTTGGCTTTAAAGATGTAGAGTAGTCTAGGTTGGAAGAAACCCCTGTGGGTCACCTGAGTGAGCACCCCCGCAAAGCAAGGCCAACTTTTACATTATATTTGGTTGCCCAAGGCCTTGTCCTCACAGAGCACATCACGAAGACATTTCTACCCCTTCAGCAATTTCATTAGTCAGTCAGTTCCCCATCAGCCTTGGCTGTCTGCGGTGCTCCCACCATCGTTCCCATTTTTAGAATGCTTGAAAACCCCAAAGACACCACATCTTATCCCTGGAGAATTAAGAGCAGCTAAAAGCTAGAGACAGGACAGACACTGTATTGGCTGAAATGGAGGCAACGGTTGGACTTGATGATCTTAAGGGTATTTTCCAACCTTAACGATTCTATGATTCTAAGACATCTATGTGGCATCTAGAGCACATAGTTTGAATAACCTGTCATCTGCTTTCCACTGAGCATAAAGAGGGTGTAATATTAAGAGCTTTACAAACACAAAATGGAGGCAGAGAAGATCAGTGACATCCCAAAGGCTATGGAAGGAACATGCTTTGAAGATCACAAAAGAAAAGCATTAGAAACAGGCCGGATACTCAGGAGGTCCCCTGCATTGCAGACCTGACTCTGATTTATACTTAGTATTCCTTGGAAGCTTTCAAGACTGACAGAAGTCATTTATTTTAATCAAATAAAATAAATTCTCTGGTTCAAAGTTCTTAAAACTTCCAATTCCCATTAATCTGGCAAAGATCTTCTGTCACTGTCCAAAGACAGAACAGGAGACTTAATTCAGGGGCACTGATGAAAAAAAGATGCATGGAGCTACACAGTTGCTTAGTTACATTTGCCTTCCAGCTGCGATCTCAAGAGGGAAGAGGAGTTTTAATCAATTGAGAAGGCAGCCTGCAAACAGCTATCTCTGTAGCAAACCAATTGTCAGATTCATTCAGTGAGTACCAGGGTCCTGGGACACAGCTACATATCAAGCTAGCAATATCTGGAGGGTGAAGAGACTACATGGGTAGTTAGGTACCAATTTTCTGCCTGGTTTCCTGGACAATTGCATCAACTCCTCTCACGACCAGATTGGAGAGAGTGGTTTGAATCTTCCTTTTCGGTACTGCAGCTGCTGCACTAGAAAGAAGAAACAAAATCAAAACATCAGTTTTCCCACGCTTAGAGCAAGGACAGGAGCTTGAACGCTAGCCCACTGCTTCAACAAAACTCCAACCACCCTAAAAAGTGCCTCTCTCCTGTCATCTGTCTGTCTTTGGGAAGGATGCGGATCTAAATCCGAATTCTAGCACAATGTTTAGGATCTCCCATTTCTCCCTGGGTTGAGATATGTATTTCCTACGCATTGAGAAAAAACTAATCACAGGTAATGGCTAAGCTTTGCTCACAGTTAGTTCCAGGGATGGAGAGGAGGCTGGAATTGCTTCATTACTGTGGAGTCACACCAGTTATCAGAGGGCAGTGGTAAGGGAACGGAAGCTGTGAGCAAGCACAGGGCTTGATCCAGCTCTGACTCAAGTCTTTCCACAGCTGAATTAAGGGGGATTTGGATGAAGAACATGGCCCCTCCATGCTAGTTATGAGATGCATACTGATCTACTGATCTTGGTCACTTAATAATACACAGGGTGTACTACTGTCTCTTCATTAACACAGTGATACTGTATTATTTCAGTCAAGGAAGAGAGAAGGAGGAAGTACAGAATACACTGAGTCCGAGATTAAATGCAATGAGCCATAACAAATATGGTAAGGGAACGACACTGAAAAATACTCATCTCAGAGACTCGCATGCTTGGGATCTCATGATAACGTTCGCTTCATCTACTGAAACACAATGCCGCCTGGCTTCACAACACAGTATTAATTTAGAGGTAAAAACATCCCTTACCACATCTTAGTGCTGACTGTTAAAATTTTCCTATCACATAGCACCTCTGTTACCCCATGGGGCCAGGAAGATTACACCAAACGTGGGCATTTATTCCTATTTCGTGAATGTAGTTAAGTCAAAGGGATCTCTAACTAAACAGACCCCCTTAGAGATAGCTTCAGGCTCACTTCTATATGGGAGGGAAATTCTGTTCAAAAGCAAGGGAAAGAAGCAGTTTATCTTACACTGAGGCTGCATACGCTGCTGAAGAGACACCTCCATAGTAAAACCCATCCTGACACAGCCTCTCCTTCAAACTGGGATTTTTCCGACCAACTTTTCTGGGAATGCGGCCACCAGAGAAGGTGGACTGCAGATCTGCCCGCTTCGAGCTGAGCTTCTTGTACTGGGATTGTATGTGATACTGACAATATTCACAGTCGTTCTGAAAAGGAATGGGAGAAGCCTGTTGCAGAACACTAGCCATTACAATTTACTTCATTCCTCTCACCCACATGCATCCTCCTATGGCTAAACTGAAGTAACATCTTGATCGTAGTACTCCAGCATTTGACCAACTCAGCAAACATATGCCCACACTCCAGCAATGAAAAACAAAACTAAAGTTGCCCATACTAATCACTGGAAAAAATCCTGCGTGTCAAGGAATTTTTAAGGCTATTCCTTGGCTCAAGTCAACTGATGTCGCAGGTCCTCTTGCCCAGATTCTGTACTCTTGACTCTGAACTGTATGCAATTTTCTTACTAGTATGAACACAAAGGAAAACTAACATCAGAGCATGATATTTCATGCACTCATTTCAAATTAATTCATCGGTTTTCAGTGTCAATCTGAGGGAGTTTAGAACTGAAGACAGTGAGTCTGCCAGTCAGAGACAGCAGTGCCATAAACACACTCACTCAGGGTGTTCTTTAACTTCTTACCAAAAAAATAACTCTGTTCTCATTGAGATTCATCTGCCCCAGATTTGTATAACTACAACTACCCCACAAGCAAACATTTTTTGCCACTAACTAAACAGACAGCCAATGCTTTCAGCAGGTTCTTCTGCCAGACAGCCTCCATCTACTGTTTGTTCCAGGTGGCACTGGAACATCTCACTGACACCGAGAGCCCTGTGCACAGCCACCTCCTGGAGTGGGTCTGCAATCACAGCCTTGTTTTGCTACAAGTACCTTCTGTATTTGTCTTCCTCCCACTCCGCACACTTTGAGTTCCTCCCCAGCTCTTCATTCCTTCATTTTGTCTCCTCCTTCTAAGTGCTACCCGACTAACTATAACCCTTCCAACCTAGGGTTCCTTTCAGGTATCATAACATCACCATGGCCATGAAGTGACATAGTCCACAAGTCCTTTAAACTAGTACAAGTCAGTACTATCCCCAAAAAAAGAATCCCAACACCTTTTTCCTCTCATCCCCAGTGCCCCACATTCAGGTATAAATATTCTGACAGCTTGGGGGCAGGCTGGACCAGGGAAATCATTGGGTTAAAACCATCTCCAGAAACCACAACCATTCCCAAGAAAAACCTCCTATTGTTTTACCTTGGATGAGCTCTCTAGTGCAGTGCATGGAAGCTTGCACCGGCATAAAGGAGAGTGAAAGGGTGTGGAGACGGTGGCAGTCATGGGTCAAGATCGTCCTTTTCCACTGCAGCACCAGCTTAAATTTTAACTAAATTTCACCACTTAGGGAACTACCGTGCTGCTGCCACGGTGCCATCACAGAAACAGCTCCACTGGGTTTAATTTCTCAGTTTCTCCACCCAGTTTAGTTAGTTACAAGTCAAGATCCAGAAACAAGTCAAAGAGTCGGAGCATCAGTACAAAATCAGCAGCCAGATTTTTTTACCAACAGCTTAAGGATGTCCTGACTACTGAGATACAGACCAGGTTCACGATCTGTGCACAAGGATCACCGTTCTTCTTTCTGGCTTTGCAAGTGCCCATGTCCAGAGCTTCACCCATGAGGAGGATCTTCTGGGGATGGTCAACAGACAAACACACCTAGAAAGAAATCAGAACATGCCTTGAGGAGGACTGGATGAGCTTCTCTCTCGATGACAGTGGTTTGGCTCTGGTCCAGTTTGGTACCTCTGGTATTAACAATGCAGTTTTAAAATGCAGGCCTAGTTTCAGAAAGCCACATGTCCTGTTCAGATTGAGAAAAGGCTCAGTTAAAAAGAAAAAAGTGAATTTCTTTCTCACAAAGAGATGAAAGACATTGGATTTCTATGCTCAGAGCCCCAGGAAACCAAGGACCAGTAAAGGCAGATCTACTTGTGCTATAAATGATGGTCCTGTACAACCACTTGGCTCCGATGCCATCATGGCAACCACATTCGTCAGCGGATGGGAAGAGGAGCTGTACTAGAGCTCTCTGTCCCTCTCCATATGTCTAGGTCCAATCAAAACCGACTCCTGTGCAAGCAGAGTGTCTACTTCGCACAACCAAAGATACTAGGAACTGTGTCTGTAGGTAAGAAACACTTCTCAAAGTCAGTTTTAATGTAGTTCTAAATGTGTACATATTAGCTAAGAAGAGCCCTTCTTAACAGTTAAATACAGCCCTTACATTAAATCTGTTATGCCTTTCCACTCACCAACAGGACTTTCTACTGCTTATTCATGTTAATTCAAGCAATTACATAGCTTAATAGACAATTAATGAGATTCTTAATTTTTCCATTTGGAGAATTTAAAATGCAAAACACTACATCACCAGCTACTAGACTGGAATTCCTCTTGACAGAAGTCAGTAAAAACGGTTTCCATTCCGGTGCAATTAAAAAGATATTAAAAAAAATTAATTTATTAGCAAAATGAAGCCACCTTAAATGTTTTGATACATACAGAAAAGTAATTCATCATGTTCTGCACTTGCAAGTAATTCATTAAACAAGCGAACTACTATGTATCAACTTATCATACATAATACATCATTTGTTTAATAAATCAAATATTACTTCTTCTCAGTCATGATTTTGGAACCAGGAAACATTTTGCAATCACATCTCATGCTTAAATTAGAAGAGAGAAATGAGCTTCCCCACCTTTTTCAGCTTTGAGAGACCTCTAGGCTGAAACAGGCATTGCACTGAAGTAAATGAATAAACCGAAATGAAAATACACTCCCTACATCTGTGGAAGAGCCGACTGCTACCGAGAGCAGATTAACCACTTGAATAAACTCTGGGTTTAGATGCTTAATAGGACTTCTTGAAGTTCAGCCTTCCAGAAGGCCAGGAGCAAATACACACCACGCAAATATCTGAGTGCAATGTAAACTGTTTAGGCAGACTGCTGAAATTTCAGCCTTAACATCTGTTATAAAGCTAAATCTCAAGCAGATATGAAAAAGTTCAGCTGTGCGTTTTTATCTACAGCTGATGGGCAAGTGAAAAATCCTCTCACCTCATCTGAGCCTTCTTTAGGTTTCATAGGATTAGCATTGAGCAGCCCGATGACTGTGCCTTGGTCTGTCTTCCAGTGCTCTTTGTGGACATCACCAAACAAGAAGAGTGAGACACACTGATTGAGATCCCGCAGGTCATTCAGCCGCCAGATACTGAAGGTTCTGCCCTGGAACAGACATTCGCTTTCCTTTCAGCTCTCAGTACAAGGACACTGACTGCATCCCCTCTTGCTGTTGCTTTTAAGGAGTTATTCTGATTTCCCCCCCTCCCCTGAGTCTTCTTGATTTAGAAAAGCACAATTTGTAACCTCCGTAGAGGTTAGATACACTATCTCCAGCCATGCCACACAGCGAGTCCTGGGATTCTTAAAGGCCAAAATAGCACACTAACACTGCTACCACCACTCTTCCTGATATTAAAGCTGGACAGCACTCTTGCTTTCATCCCACTGAACAAACAAAACCAAGGCATATCCAGATCTCTGTTTCATCACTGACTTTCTACAGGACACATACACCATCTAGGACAGAATGACCTCTAGGGAAATGATGGAAGCACCATGTGTTGGCACATTTAAAACAAGAGGGCTGTCTAGAAAGATTCAGAGTCGCAGTCTTTTTTTTTTTTTTTCACACTGGCATTTAACATATAACAGTGGATGAACAGATTTAAGACAGATTTATGCCATGGTTGCATTAGCCAATGCTACTGTCTGGGACAGTTGCACCAGATAAGCTAAGGACTTACTCTGAGGACTAAAAGCAGCATTACTGCATGAAACCAGACGAGCCAAGATCTTTAATACAGTAGCTTTTCATTAACTACATGGAGTTGGCTGATTAAGCTGAAGACCTGATTAGTTTATCAGGAAAGAAGACCAGCATTTCACTTGAACTGAGCAAGGGATACAACAAAGTTACTTACATTATTTGCGCTCTGAGGAGTGATCTTCTTCACTATGACTCCAAATGTTACCCAGTCTATTTCCTCCAGATTTTCTGCAGCAAGTTTGCTCTTCAGCTGGGACAGTCGGATGAGCTTCCGGTTAGCCATTTTCCTGTCCATTTCAGCTGATGAAACCCGGGGTTTTCTAGATCAAGCAAAAGCATGTAAAAGAGAACACATCCATTGGCATAAACGGGCAATCAAAACCATCCAGCATTCTCCTGGGGAGGCTATGTCTTGCTGCAAAATGCCTCTGTGCCTTATTTCACCCTGAGTTCACTTGACACAAAACCTCTCAGTTCAGGACACCATACAAATATCAGAAAGCTACTGATCATGCTGGTTTTTGTCAAAAAGCTGCACCGCAACTTAGCTCCAAGCCTGTGTTAACTCTACTCATTTCAGGAAGGACTGAGTCTCATGACTGTCTAAGCAAGGTTTGGAAATCCAGCATGGTTTCTGGTGAGGAAAGGCACCATCAGTATTCAGAGACCTCTTGTGGCCACATCGAGTATGGGGATCACGAGTGGCTCCCAAGACTTCTCAGCGTGGTGCAAAATCTGCCGAACCGGAGCACAGTCAGGCCTTGCACATGCCCACTGCCTCCCTCCTCCACCACTGAGGACATCCCAGGGAAGGCAGTGTTAATGAAATGATAGCTTTTTCTGTTAGAAAAGAGCAAAGGTGAAAACGGAAAGATGGTAATAAGCCAAAAGTCAATGTCACCTATTGACTGATCAACCAGCCAATGCTGTGGCTTTGTGTTACATCCTCTAATGACAGTTGACTAATCTGACATGTTTAAATGATGTATATACAGCAAAACAGAAATCCAGTCATCCGCGCACCACCTGTGTGACAAGCATCACAGGATGTCGGACTGATTGCATTTTCTCTCCCATTACTGGAGGGTGATGTCCCCAGACAGAGCTCAGTGCTGGGCTGCTGACCTTAATCTCAGTCCCGAGAAGGTTTCCACAGACACTGGCTGAGTTGTTGCAGAGGAGCAGGTAGGCATGTGAGGAGTCCTCTCTCTGGTCACCTTACTGGGCGTGTTCCCTGTGGCAGACTTGAGAGGCTGGAAAGCCAGACTGATGACTTGCTGTGGAGGAGTCTTGTTCTCTTTAGCAGGAAAAAAAGGAAGAAAAAAAAAATCATCTTGATAATGAAAGAAAACTTCTAAATACAAATTACATTTGACCAGATACAGGAGTCTAATATAACACACTTAAGAAAAAGGTGTAAAACTGTCTTATTTGTACTGAACTGGTCTCCCAGTCAGCTGGGAACTGACAGCTCCAGATCAGCCACATGTAACTCAAGCAATGAGTTCTGCCTGGTGAGGAGCTTCCCAGGGCAGCTCTCATTTTCCAGGCAAGCTAAACTAACTGTAGGATACACAGATGCAAGCTAGACTGCTGTCAGTGTCCAAGTCAACCATAGCAGTACAGAGCATAGCACCCATTGCAAAAACACAACAATTAACTCTGTAATGAGCTCTGTTCCGCTGTGACCAGACTGCTACTGGTGCAGCGACTAGTGTAAAACTATCCTGGATGTGTCTACACTGCTGCTGTGAACTAGATAGGCTTTCAACAAAAGTCCAGTGTGTTTCAGTGAAAGGCAGACTGAGAATGGTACCTGCTGAGGATGCTTTTGATTTCTGGATTCCTCGCTTGGCTGATGGTAAAGGATTGCCCAGCTGGGCTGAGAAACATGGTGACTCTTGCAGCTTCTGAACTTTCCTTTCCTTTAAGGGTGGACAGTGAGATTTACCTGGCCAAGAAAACAAAAAAATATTTATGAGATCTCAGGATCTGGACTCAAACACTAAGAACTACTCCAAATTAAGCAATTCTCTGAATAACAAGTCTACATAGAAGCTCTTCAACTAAGTTGCCAGCATCTGAAATGGAACAGCTGGAAAAGCCCCAATGCCTCTTCCTCATGGTGTCCTAAAACTCTGGATGTCACTGAAACCACAAAGCAGTGGCAAGTAGGAACTTCCCCTTGCTTTTCAATTTTCCCATGTAGTTTCATTACTACACCTAACGTGCTACAGCAACAACCACAGTTGTGTTTTCTGGGTGTACCAACGTCTGCCAGTAAGAAGGGATGCTTCCAGCAGAAGACCCTGGAGCACTTCAGTCACAAAAGCTGCCCCATGTAGAGTCAACCCATGATGCAGACACCAAAACTGCAGCTCATTAATTTAGTCTGTAGCCGCAGGAAACAACCTGTGTGGGAATACACCAGATCACCATTCCTCCCTGCTACTCAGTGCCCACTTTAGGATTATCTGGAGTCTTGCCTATGAATTGCACGTTGGTAGGCCAACCAATCATAAACCCATTTAATTAGTCTCATTACCAGGGGTTTTCTTCTCAGGGCCTGAACTGGACTGCTGCCCAATAGCGGTCTTTTGCAACTGCTCTTGTAATGTCTTCATCTGTTCTTGCAATTTTCTCAGCTCAGCTAGGAGAAGAAAAAGGATAATAATGAAAACAGCAGGAAGCCATTGCAAACAGGGATTTATGAGATCCCTGGAAGTCTGGCAGTTTTACTACATCATAAGAACTTAGAAAACAAAGACTCGAGCCACAACACATTTACTTAAGTCTACATAGCTCACAGGGAAGGGACACTTTTCCATACAGCCTGGAGCTGATTTATCTCATATAAATATTTTACTTGACTGTGGTATGTTCCTTGCCATGTTGCATATATCTTTCCTACCGAACATAAGACAATTTAAATGGCTGATGATTGCACTCCTTACTGTAAAGAAATGCTTCCAATATAACCAAATATGTGGCCTGGACACAGGAAGGCTCGGGCCAGCTCTGCTTCCACACTGACTGGTATGGCAGAACCTCCTGCTGCTAGGTCCTGAGGGGGAAGGGATTGTTGTGCTGGTGAAAGATGCCAGGACGACAGCCCTGAAGACTGAAGCAACATTGCTCTTCATCAGACAAGACACAGGGACATAGGCAACTTTCCCTGTCCTGCTCACCAGAGCTAGTTTAGTCTCCCTGGCTTACTTCAGTCCTCTGTCTTTCTTTTGGAAAAACAGGTTTGGCGAGTTTGGCCATTGAGCACTGAAAACTGGACTGAGAAACTTTCACAAGGACTTTCTGTATTCCCCCTCTGGGCACCATCCTAAAGCGAGAAGCAGCAGGCCCTGCCTTCTGCCCATTAGCTCTCTAAAGATATATATCACAATCAGATAAAAGATGCTGTTACAGAAACCTTGCAGTTCTTCGTTGGTTTTCTCTTTTGCCTGACTGGGAGCTGAAGTGGGGACAGCTTCTTCTGCCGCCTCCTCTTCCAACAAGTCATCTACATCTCCAAACAGCGTAGCCAGGTTCTCCTTCTGCTCATCAATCATGCTGTCCTCAGTATCGACCTCCTCAGTGTAGGACACATCATCTTCTGCATCGAAGAGCTCATCGTATTCATCTGGTTTTCCCCCCTCATCCTCTGGGGCACCTTCCTCCTCAGGAGAATTGCCCTCCTCAGTGGCCTCGCTTTCTTCCAGGAGGGAGGCCAAAAGATCCAAGTCATCATCAGCTAAGGCAAAAATTAAACTCAGCGTTATTTCTGTCCAGTTAGAGGAAAGCTGCCACGGAACAAAACATCCAAGATACTCTAATCACAAGCTAATGACAACTGAAACTAAATCAGAGCAGCAAGTGGTATTCTTAAAAAACTACTTCAACTTTGGCTAAAGGAAGATAAAGCAGCTTCCTGCTCTCTGGTTGGATGGAAATGTGGTTGCAGACACTCTCAGCTTGTGATCCAGGCTGACTGGTAGGCAGAAAACTTGCAGCCCACTTAGAGCTGGCTTTTCCTCCTGCGCGGCTGCTTGTACAATAGCTGCTGTTAAAAAGAAAAGCCTTGAGACCTGTAAAGTTGTAGCTAGGAGCTCTACAGATGCCCATGTGGCTTTTGCCAATAGAAGCTGACGAGGTAGATGCAAGGGAGGCAAGAAAGCATATCCTCACATATGCTTTGCTCAAGGAAGAGAACAGAGCAAAGAAACATGGATCAAAGGTACAAATAATGGAAAAAAGAAAATCAAGTACAGAGAGAGGAATGGGACAGACAGAGCAGAACTGAAATTCAGAACAAAATAAGAAATATATTCAGCATTTTCTGCTGAAGAAAACACAAAACCAGGGAAAGGGCAGAAGCAGCCTCACAGAAAGGTGACAACGAAGGCAAGGGGCAACCTCAAAGGCCTCCTCAAGTGAAGTCAGTGCAACATTACTTCCCTTGCTAAAAGGTTTACCAAGCTTTCTGAACACCCACTAATGTAATACATGGTCAGAAGACAACTTCCTACTGAAAGTAAAAGAGTACTTTCCCCCTTACCGTCCATGATTTCACCAGGATTTCTTCAAGAGCCCCTCAAGGAAAAATATATTCTCTGTTATGGGGAGAACAACATTGATACTGTTAAAACAGATATAGCTCAACCAGAAATACATGTGTTCAGGCTCCTTATTTGATGATTTGCAAACCACCAGCTTGTTTTTGTTTACAGCTGCAGATGAGGGCTCCACTAAATTTAAAACTTCCATGTACATTTTCTGCATCTAAAGTCTGACCTACGCTGAACTCACTGCAGCGTAAGGGCATTACTTTTAGAAAAAAGCCTATAACAGACACAGATTTTAAGAAATGCCTACCATGTTCTCCCAGTAATAGCCATTTACACTTCATCGGTTCTGTGTTATAATTAGCATTTAACTAAAGCAAATTTTCCAAAACAGATTCAGTCTTCATTCGAAAATGGAAGAAGGTAGCAGGGTTTCGCTCTCAACTCACAACCCAGTTCTTATTCTTAAAAGCACACGGTCTACATTTCTCATAGCTCCTCCATTTCACAGGCACATGGCCATGAAAAATAATCAGCATGGGCAGACATAAATGGCCAAGGGAAGACTGGATAACAGAAGAGAAATCCACTGGGGATGGATTACTCTCAAACCCAAACTCTAACTCCGTGCTTACAGGTCTTCCCGCTGCAGAGACTTTTGTTTCGCCCATAAACTCCATTTTTAATGGTTCTCTCTCCTTTTCCTCCAGAATATTAATTTTCAGCAAAGAACAAAACAAAACTCAAGGGCATACACGAGCAGGCATGGCTAGTGACCACCGCACAGCTCCGGGATCCCGCTGTCCTGCTGGTGACACTGGCCCGGGGATCCGCCCGGTGACACTGGCCCCCGGATCCGCCCCGCCGCCGAGCGGCCCTCACCCCGGGACCTCCCCCCGCCTCTCTCCCGACGGGCACCCCCGGGCTCCCAAGGCCCGGCA